CCCCAAAACCCCAAAACCCCAAAACCCCAAAACCCCAAAACCCCGCAAAATAATTTATTACTGAATAACTTCAAAATTAATGATTTAACCCATCTGTAAATTGTCAATGTCCACATTAACATTTAACATCAAGACTCTATCATCTTTTATTTCTGGATCATTCAAAGAGCAGAGGGTTCCTTCCTTCACAATGAGTCTCTGGATGACACTGTTAATCTTCTTAGCCCAGTACATCAAGTCATCTGTACCCTTTATCTGGTTCTCAATATCTTTCAGGTAGTAACCGAGAAGGTCCTTCTGGAGCACACCTTCAAAGTCATCTCCTTCCTGTCTCTGCTTATCTCTGATGTAGAAAATGATTTGCTTTCCGATCTTCTCGTACTCATCGAAGCTTAGCTGGACAGTCTTTGACTGACTAGGCTGGGCCTGATCATCTTCCATCTCAACATCTGGGTTAAAACGGCGGCGAGGATCCAACTCTCCATCTCTTCTTCTATCATTTTGAATCTTATTAAAGGTATCTTGGGCTTCGTCAACCTCGATGTCGTCTTTCTTAATTGGAACGATGGATTTCTCTAGAAGTCTAGTGGCTTCTCTGACGTATTCCCCTCTGACCTCATCATCTGCGTGAACTTTGGCCAAGGCTTCAGAGAGTCTGATCACTGATTCCAACTGTCTTACTGTAATTCTGTAGGAAGTCTTTTTGGCGGTGGCATCACTTGCCCTCAATCTTGTGTACTCCTCTTGCAAAATTAGAGCAGCCTCCCTAGTCAATTTAGGCTTGATGGTCCTGCAGAATTTCAGGTAGGTCAAGATATCTTCTTGAGAGAATTTGGTTTTCACTACGTCTTCTTTCTTTCTGTGGAAGTCAATGATATGCCTAGCAATATGACTGTCAGCAGCATCATCTCTCTCATCCACTACTACATAGAAAAGATCGAATCTGGACATGATGGGAGCCGAGATATTGAGGTTGTAGTTCAAGCTCTTAGTTCTATCATATCTTCCTTTCACTGGGTTTGCAGCTGCAAGGATGGAAGCTCTGGCATTAAGAGTAGCATGAATTCCTGCCTTCGCGATGGAAATAGTTTGCTGTTCCATTGCTTCATGAATAGCAACTTGATCCTTTGGGTCCATCTTATCGAATTCATCAATACAACAGATACCATTGTCTGCAAGCATAAGTGCTCCTGCTTCAATACAGAACTCTCCACTCTCCAAATCCTTATGAACACTGGCGGTTAAACCAGCTGCTGAAGAGGCTTTACCACTAGTATAAATTCATCTTGGCAAAAAGGAAGTGACATATTTCAAGAACTGAGACTTGGCTGTAGCTGGGTCTCCCACAACGCACATATTAAGATCTCCTCTAAGCTTCATTCCTTCTTCAGTAGTCTTATTCACACCTCCAAAGAGCATGAGAAGAATTCCTTTCTTAATCTCTTCATGCCCATACACAGATGGAGCGATACATTCGGCCAATGATGAGTAGAGGTCTGGCATATTCTGCATTAGAGTAACAATATTTTTCTCTTTCCTAGTCATTTGGCCAATGCTATCTTCCTGAGCATCGATGATAAAGTCCTTAGCCTTGATAGTACCGTTGCTATCTTTCTGATGGACCGAGTTAGCAAGGAAGACAAGCTTATAAGCCATGTCTCTGACTCCTAATTCTTTTAATCCAGTGACTCCATCAAATCCTTTAGCGTTAGATCTTTTCACATTGTCATTTTTCTGTGTGATCTGAGTATTCTTCTCTCCTGGCTTAATTAAGCTGGCAACATCAGGGACAACAATCAAGGTACCGGTAAAGACACAGTTCTCTCCTGGTTTAGCTACCTCTACGATCTCATTCCTGAGGACTACATCAATAGATCTTGGCATTGATCCTGCTGGGATATCTCTGGAGTTTTCTTGGACTCTCAATTTTTGCCAGTCAGTGAAAACTCACTCTTCTTGAACAATTTCGAACCTCTTGGCTCCCTCGCTGACAGGAGGATAGGTGAGCTTGAACTGCTGTTCAACGTCCTTGTATACTGTCTTACTCTCTTCATCTCTGAAGGCACCTCTCAGCATCTCTGGACGAACTTCAGTTGTCCGCGTAACAGTTCCTGAAATGGACATGAGCCTTCCAATGAAGTTGGTCTTCAAGTCTCTCAGCTTATATGTATTAGGAAGGTTATAGAAGCCCAAGAAAAAGTTCTTATCCTTTGCATATTCCTGATGGTGCTTAAACATGAAGTTGTACAAAGCTTTTGTCATGTTGTTTTCAAATCTATAAAAGTTCGCAAGGATGTCATCTGGCAAGTCCTCGGTCTGGTCCTGGCTGTTGAACTGTCCCAGATGCTCGAAGTCAATGTACATAGTCGTCGTTTCATTTTCCTTGATTCTCTCAGCTTGGATGTGATAATACTTGACTTCGTCCCCTTCCGCATATTGTTTTCCCGCGTAATCTTCGTAATTGGGGTCATCTTCGATCAAGGTGAATCTATATGGGTGATAAGCTAGTCGAAAAAGAAGCAAACTTACGTATCAAGGAAACTATAGAACAGTTTCTGGATCAACTCAGAGTGGTAGTCCTTTACCACATCTTCTTGTCTCTGGCTCATTTGCTCCATTTTTAGATTTGATTAATTTTATTAACAAGGTATTTATGCGTGGGTCTACCTGATTTAGGTATTTTGGGGTTTTGGGGTTTTGGGGTTTTGGGGTTTTGGGGG